TACTTGTTTTTGCTAACTCAGCACTCTTGTGTGTTAATAAGCTAAAGCAATCCTAAATTTAGTGTTCTATAAATTTGATAAGGGAAGGTAACAGCCTGTTGTGAACTACTGTCTTGATTTATTTCCTCCCTTATTTACTCAACAGGCCCTTAATTGCCTTTTGGAACCTACTTTGTTTACCCAGCCAGTGCTTCCTTAAATTCTTTGCTTGGGACCTACTTCTCTTATCAATTCCCCCTTAGCTCTGGTCAGTATCCTTTCCTTTTGAAGTATGCATGTCAGTGTGGAGCAAGCACAAGCAGGCAGTGCCAATTGTTTAGTAAGCAACTTCCAGTACATCACTGATTAATCTTTTTAGCTTCTTTGTATCAACTATGCTTCCCCATCCTCAGGTTTCCTTGGCCAAAGCCCACTCAGACCAGACCTTCATGGCTGCTTTGAGATATACGACTGAGTATCAGACAACTGCATGATCATGAGATCCCCTTCTAGGGAGAGAAGAGTGTTTAACTCATACTCTTTCCACAGTAGTCTGATACAGCTGCTGAGTCCTTGCTGGATACCACACAATGGCCATTGGCAGCTGATCCAACTTAGTGTGCAAAACCAACAGCTTCAAACATTTCCTCTTTATTTGCTAGGGCAGATACTATCTTATTCCTGTCTCTTTTCCTCTCCAGGAACCAGGACACTTGCTCTGAGCAAGAGATGGTGCTGAAGTGCTGGACCTCCTAATCAGCCGAGGCATTTCCAGGAAACCAGGAGCTTGTCCAAAAGCATGTGATTTATAATTCAGCAGCAGAATGTGAAAAAACTTGTATATAGACTGATTGCATATAAAATAAAAAAGTGTTTGTATTTACTTGTAACCAGATAGAGATATAAAGGCTAAAGTCACAGGATTTGTCTTAGACAACATGTGAGATAAACAAGGGATAACCAACATGAACTGGACAACTGAAGGGGGGTTTGGAGATCTCTTGAATAACAAACACATTGCAAGGCCAACAGTACCTGTATTACTACTAATACCTTACACAAAATTGCTTAGGAAATGGTGTCAGAAACACCAAATTTTAAAAGACAGATAGATGTGTTTCCAGAGCCAGAATTCCTTTAAATGCCATTTCTCTCTTCTATGTCTCCCAAATAACATTGTATGTTCCTCATCTCTGGTCTAGTAAGAAAAGGTAAAAGAAAACAAAATTTAAAAGAAACAGAAGTGAAGGGGGAAAGAGCATGAGAGAGAGCAGAAGTGCAAAGAAACATAGAGTGGAGAAATAAAAGTTGTAAGGGAACATGGAAGAATCTGAGGTGGTATGGAAGAGAGAAAGACTAGGGAGGGATTCTCTGCTTTGTCTGAAAAAAAAGAATAGGCACCCTTGGAGAAAATTTTTGTAGAAAAGTCCTTACAAGAACATAGTGGCTAAGAAGATGAAGAGCACATATATTTCTTTACTTGGTTGGGCAAGGAACATAATTTATTTCAGAACATCAGGTGTATCCTATAAGGAAGAATCAGCTGTCAGAGCTGAATATAACGAAAGCAGCATGGGCAGTGTACAGATGTAATTAGTGTCTGTCCAGAAGAATCATCAACACTGACTGCTTTACAGGTCCACTGCCCAACTGATGTCAGTATTAACTGCTGTAATCTCCTGGAGGTTTTGGTGTCACTTCTTTCAGAAGGGGAGAAGCAAGGTATGCCAGCATGTGCCAGTGCTCTCCAAAGCAATAGGGAATTGTTTAAGAAAGTGAATACACTGTTACTGTGGTAGGCCCTGCACCACCACTGCTCCTCTTCTATGTGATCCTATGAACTAGATGTTGGCACCTGCACTGGTCTTGCCTTCTCCTGCTTATTGGCATCTGTGGACACAGTGAATGTCTTGTTTAATACCTGCACCAGCTGAAATATTCCAGCTCACATGGTGTACATATGTTTATCAGATTTTTTTTTTTTAAAACAGAATGCAGTACTGCTTCATTCCCACACTTGTTTCTCTCTCTCCCCAGTAATGCCTGCCATTTGCTTTCCAGCTCCTGTTAATCAATGGACACTGTGTTTGCCAGCAGCAGAAAGAAAAAGAGCTTCCCTTTCTACCTGAGTTGTAATCTGAGCAGGTGGGACAAAACCAGCAGGGCACACCATCACCACCCCCACAACAAGATTCCCACTGGGAAATTTCTAAGACTTGCAGAGTAGGACTGAGTAATTGGGGAGAACTGGCTGTGCTTTCTTCTACAAGAAGAAGCAATGTGCAGGAAAATGAGGTATATTCCCAAGATGTCCTTCCAATATGGCTCTAATTATGTTTTCACAGATGAAGACAGCATCTCAAAGACTGGGCATCATGAGCTTTCTTGAGAAAAAACAGAAGATAGCTGAAGTTTGAACCACAACAAATTTTTTTTGCTGCACCCAGAATACATACACTCTATGCTGTATGTATTCTCAGAAGTGAATGGAACTGTGGTTCCTTCCCCCAGACCTTCCTTTCCATTTCCAGAGGAAAACTGAACATGCCAAGGGGTGGTGAGCATCCAGGTCTTGTTCTGACAGACAGTTGGGATGTGGTCAGGATGTCCTTGAAAACAAGGACTGCAGGTGTCATAATGACTATGTTAACCTGATAAACCTTTAGTCCTTTCCATCCAACCTCTTGTTTAGGTGTGCAGGACTGTCCTTCTGAAGCTTTCTGATAGTGCTGCACCTGACTGTATATCTTCGCCTCTGCCTCTTGCTATGACATCTGCTGCCTCCTGAATGAAGACAGACTTGAGAGGTAAAAGCCTGTTTCTCATGTTTGAGAAAGGCACCTCTTTCAGACAAATCTGTATCAAAGACGGGTTCAAGAACCTCCCTTCAGAGATTTTGCAAGCAAACCCAGCATCATCTCCCAGGATCCCTCTTTTGTCAGACATCTCAAGAAAAACTTTGTGTTCCAAATTTGGGACATGGAGACTGTTTCTAGCAAGTTACATTTTCTTGAAACCAGTCTTCTCATGTAAATTTTGATCTGCCCTATACCACCTCCCAGGAGCCAAAACCGCAGATGCCTCTAAAACCTCTTGTAACATTGGGCACTCTCTATGTATGTTATCTGTCCCTTTTTCTTCCTCAAAACCCTACTGATGTGCTTTCCAGAATTGAGTTGGGGGAAATGAAAAAGAGAAGTCCATTGCAATGTTTTCATTTGCTGTTATGTTGGACATAACTGAAAACAGTAAGACAATAAAGTTTTCTCTATTGTGAAAGTATCAACAGCAACTTTAGAAACTAGGAGGCCAAGACCATGACAACCAAGCTTTTGGCCCAATGGCGAAACTACTAACCTGGCAAATACATCACTTCAGGTGGAAATTACACAAATTTGTACTCAAATTTTTGATGAAAAAAATAAACCACCCAGAACTGATTTTCCAGGATATATTCTTAGTCCTAAACTGGAAACTCTCAGCTCTTCATGGAGTATGGATATGATTGATAAAAGGGGAGGAACATACAGACAGAGGTTTGGGAAATTTGAGGGAAGCAGAGCACTTGCTCAAGCGTTCTGTGTTTCTGATTTGCAGTGATGCCTCTGATAGGAGTCTTCTGCCCTTTTCTCACATTAGAAATTGCTCCTTGGGGGACTCTGGCATTTATCCTTCTTGTGATATTTAATGGCTTTCTCTCCCCTTCATTGCCAGGCTTAATTCTGTCACATGTCTCAGCAGAATCTCCAAAATCCATTTCCTTTCTGCTACATTCTGGGCAAACAGTGGCTGGCATTGAATACTACACAGCCTGTTCTGTTGCTGCCCTCACATGTGATGATCCAAAAGTGTTCAGAGCCTTTCTACATGCTCTGCAGATGAACACTAACCCATCTGCAGATGAGTTTCTGCTCCTGGCCAGTCCAGCACACTCACAGTAATATTCTCATCTACAGATGCCAAACACACTGAAAAGTGAAAACCTGCATGCAAAGAGGTTTGGTTGTGAGAATTGGGACTCGTCACTCAGAAGACATCCTCATGCAAACAGCAGAAATAGCATTTATTAATATAGGTTTTTTTCTAACTTATCAACACAGAATATGCTGAAATAAGAACAAAACATTAAAGATAAGCCATGAATGATTTTTTCCCTTCAGGGAAGGGACAAGTCCACTCCACCAAACTCTCTTCTTTCAGATTCTGCTCCAGTGATTTGTAGCACCAGTATCCTTTCATGAAACAGATGGCCTTTTCCACATCATTGAGATATTGAATGGACAGGGAGTCAAGGAAAGCACTGGAGAATCAGGACTCCTATCTATGAAGAAGGAGAGTGAAAAGGGGCACTGTAGGTCCTTGACATCAGCCTGAGCTATTTCTTCCGGTACTGATCTCCAGCTTTGAAAGAGATGCAGGAGCACACATGGGGAACTGAGGTCCTTCAGAGCTGGGATTTTACGGCAGATTTGCTCATACTACATTCTGAGGTAAAGTATTTGTACGAGCTCAGGCCAGGTTTTTATCAGCTTTCATGAGTTGGCCTTTCTCGAGAATACTCTTTCAGGTCCTTAATGCAAAGTGGAGTTTCCTTCATGCAAATTTGACTCCCAGTTCACAAATTCGATAGCAACTTGTGAAGCAGAGTATGTTATTCCAGTTACTGTAAGTGTTGGAGTCTGTGTTTTTCGTGACATGAATTGCAGCACATTTTTCTGCAAAGAGTAAATTGGGTTCCCCAGGTTTCCAGAACCTGTAAAAAAAGTTCCTTTACTAGGAATGCACTAGCATCCATGACAATGGAGGTGAAATCACCTCAAAGAGCTGTGGAAGGGAAAAGGAAGGTTACTGAGATAGAAATCAGGAGCCATAGTTTTGACTAGAAAACTAGCTAAGTTTTCTGACCTACAGGGCAGCTGGGGACAGAAATCCCCCTCTGCCAATACCTGCCTTACACAGTGTATTGGTCACTTGGACTGAGGGGTGTGAACTACAGGACATCCCTCACTCCACCAGGGTACTCACGTGGCTGTCTTCTCATACGGAGTCTGGTCCACCCACTGCCATTGCCCATTTTTGTAAGCAGATAAGCCTATGTAGTACTTTGTTTCATAGTTGCTAGTAACTTTTTCTTTTGCCAAGTTGAAAAGGAACTCCTGGGAAAAAAACCCACAATGTCCATGAGGTGCAGGACTGAGCAGAGGGAGGCATCAGGAGTTCCTGTGGGATGGGGCTGGTGTCAGAGGGGAGCATGTGCTGCAGGATTGTGGACAGGACATTCCTGTTGCCCTGCAGGACAAGGAGGGGCTCTGAGTTCCCTCCAGGGCTCGACACTGTGTCTTTGGCTGCTCTCTCCCTCTGTCAGCCTTGTGCACTTACCTGCTCTGCTGCACTGTTGATCACCACCAGGTGGGAGCCCATCCCAGTGCAGTTCTGCTCACTCTCAACCCACGACATTGTATCAATGGATAGGTAATAACAGTTTCCTTGAAAGCACCTCCAGCCGTTTGGGCAGAAAATCCAGCCCTCCACTGCAGGGGGAAAAAAATAGTTCGAAACAAGATGTGCTATCCTTCCTCTTCGTGTGTTCAATGTAGGGTCTCAGGAGTTAGGAGAGGGGTTTGAACAGCACCATTAACACTGAAAGAGGTAAATGCTGTCTTCCATGCACTACAAGTAAAACTGTCAAGAGCACGACAGGCTCGTGCCACAATGTCCCTGGCTGAATGGCCTTTCCCTTTTTCTGTCTGTTCTACTATATCCATGTAATCTCTGTTTCTTGAGAGACACATTTTCT